ATGAACTTGACGCTATACTCTTTACTTAACTTGAAACTCTATATTTTTTACTTGACTTGAAACACTATACTCTTTACTTGACTTGAAACTTGAGCCTAAACATGAAGTTAAAACGTTCAATAAAGACTATTGATAAACTTTAAAGACTTGCTTTGACTTGCTTCCTAACTTCTAAACTTGACTCTAACTTCACTTGACTTTGATCCTAACTCGCCTTGAATTGAATTATGGATTCAAGGTATATGATCACATGTTTATGGATGAGTTCTTGACGTTTAGACATACCTTGGAGTGTTGAAAACAACTATAAAACATAGGTACATTACCAAGGAACATGTATGAAAAAATAGGGAATGAAAGGGAAAACTTGGCGTCTTTGGCGCTCTCAGAGGCGCGGGGCGCCAAAGCACAAAGTTCAAAAGGGCCTGGTGGGGGCTCTGCTAGGCGCGCCGCCCCAAGGGCTGGACTTCAGAGTCCCTTTTGGGGGGCACTGGCTGGCGCGATGCCCCAACTCTTTTTCCCGAAAACTCGACCTTTCTCCATCATTTTTCCAACTCTAAACCCCCTTAACTTCAATGGTTCCAGCCCCAAACACTTAGAATCATAAAACCCCTCAACATACAATAGATTTCAACTCACAAACACAACCGGAAACATGTCCCAAATCAACAAGAAACTTCAACAACCACAATCACAAACTTCAACAACACAATCAATATTTTCTCGGAAATAATACGAGTTAGGCGTGTGGAGGAATGAACCAACCCAACACTATGATCTCACATACCTTAATAGGGATCACCCCCGACAAAACCCATGACGATCTTGACGAATCCTTGCTTCTTCTTCTCTTGCTCCTCTTCTTTCTCTCTTCTCTCAAAAAGCCCTAACTCTCACTTTTAAAAGGGAAAAATGATTAAAAATCAGTCTAACACCTCAATATAACCAAAAGAAAATGGCTAGGGAAAAGACCAAAATACCCTTACAAATTCGGGCTAACTGCCCTGCCAACAGCCCAACTTCCAAAGGGCATAACTCACTCATACGAACTCGGAATCGAGCAAACTCGGCGGCGTTGGAAAGATCATTACAAGGGCTTTTTAAACATAATTGGAACTACTCCTAACTCATCATTAGCTAGCAGTTATGACTGTTCAAAGTTGACAAAAAAAAACTCATTTTTACCCATACTTGGCCAAATTTCCAGATTTTTAAATTCTTTCCAAAAATGACTATTTCCAATTCTAAGCTTCTTCATAGCTATTTCAAATTGCCGGATGTTACAGGTTATCTGTCCAGCTTTGTATGTTTCAATTTTTCCCTTGCATGCTCGTACATTCAATGTACTGACGTCATTCGACCTGCATCTTTTCATGATGCAGATACAATTATTCAGGGTCATCAATCGGCGCTTCGTTGATACCATTAGCACTCCAGCTAGCTTTGGTGAACCTCTTTGCTTCTGGAGGGCTCCACATCTTTATCTTTTGTTTTGTTAAGATGTCCTGAGTCTTGTCCCAACATCTATCGTAGTATTTAGAGGCTTCATAGACAATAGTAGTTGAGAAGTCTTTTTTTTCTATTTCCTTTGTTGATGTTTTGAGACTTTGAGTCGAATACTTATGTTTATTCAAGAAATTTCAAACATTCATTGAGTTATGTTGTTTTGAGACATTATGAGTTAACTTTTGGTAGTTGGAGTTCCTATTTTACTTGAGTAAGTCTTCCTCTAAGTAGTCAGCCAAGCCAAGGGATCGCTTGGGGGCCAGCGATGATTCTCGAGTGCCGGCCACGTCCAGGCTGTAGGCTCGGGGCGTGACAGTGAAGTTGAGTTGGTGCATTGCAGTTGTGAAGAACAACAAGCTGATATTCTAACTAAGGCTTTTCCACCAACAAGTTTGAGACTTGTACTTGAAGCTATATAAAATACAAGGCCTTCAACATTTGCAGGTTGGTTTTCCCAGCTTGGAAAAGCTATTTATTCTTAGGGCTAACAACATAAGTTCTCTATGCTCTCTCCATGTTCCAACTGCCTACTTCAGCAAACATGAAACATTGTATATATGGAGTTGTAGAAAATTAAGAAACTTGACGTCTCCATTAATGGTAATGTATAGTATAAAAATGC